CATCCCATCTTCCCATCCCCCAGAAAAGTCAAATGACTTGCCCATTGTCTTAATGGCTGTATTCTTATTTAAATTTCCTAGTCCTAGAACAGTGAAGTTACATATCCCTCCCTATATGTAAATCAACAATATGTTTGCCAGGTTTAGCAATCTCATGATTTCTTGAAGATAAAACACACCCACAAGAGTTATTTCTCAGTCATAGACTTGAAATCTTCAATATCACAATGGAAAAAAAAAAATCAGAATAGAAATTTGTTCAGTTATACTTGTATCTGTGGATTTCTGAAGGTAAACTTTATGGAGATTTTAATTCACAAAACTCTTCTGAAGGAAAGAAACAAAATTGTAAGCATCAAAACACGATAGTCATATTCCCTGTTGGGCACTGTTGATAAAGTAGGAAATTTTGAAAGTCTATATCACAGAAATTTTTAGTCATGTCTCATCAATATATAAAGCAGTGATAGTGTGATCAGGAGACACAATTTTTATTCCATCAATTCCTGGTGCCTTCTTCTTTGCCAATTATGGCACGACAGAAATTAGGAAGACAATTATCTGGCCAACTGATTGGAAGAGATCTGTATTTTTGCCCATTCCAAAGAGAGGTGACCCAATGAAATGCTGAAATCATTGCACAATCTCTTTGATATTCCATTCGAATAAAGTTTTGCTAAAGGTAATATAAAAACGGCTGCAAGCATACGTTGACAGAGAACTTCAAGACGTTCAAGCTGGATTCAGAAGAGGCTGTGGAATGAGGGTGTCATTGCTGATGTCTGATGGGTCTTGGCTGAAAGCAAAGAATATCAGAAAGATGTTTACCTGTGCTTTATTGACTATGCAAAGGCTTTTGATTGTGTGGATCATGACAAGCTATGGACAATATTGTGAAGTATGAGTATTCCGAAACACTTAATTGTGCTCATGAGGAATCTGTACCTGGACCAAGAGGCAGTTGTTCAAACAGAACATGGGAACACTTTTTTCCTTTGTGCTGGAAAATAAAGTTGAATTTAGTTTTGTATAAAAATTTTACCGTTAAAGCCTGTTTTCATAAGAAAATAACAAGTGATACATACACTTTATATAGAAATTTATTATTACTGCATTTGAAATAAAACTTATCACTCAAAATATAAATTTTATCATTTATTTTACAAATTTATACCACAGAATAATATATGACCAAACTAGTTATTTAAACTTCTAATATGCTAAATTGTGAAAATTCCTACAAAAGTAATTTTCATACAGAGTGATCACAGCTGATGAAAAAAGGTGTATAAAAGTAATGTCAAGATTTAGAAAATGTCCTGTAAATAAATACTGTCTAATTCTTTAAGAATATTTCTTGTCTTTATTGATGTTTTTGTTGTTAAAGATTGTTGAGTTGCTTCCCACTCATAGCGACCCTGTATAGAATTTCTGAGAAGCAGTTGGTGATTTTGAACCTTTCACTTTTGGGTTAGCAATCCAGGGCTTACCCTACAGCACTACACCAAGACTCCTTGTCTTCTTTACATTATGCAAATGCACATTTACTTCAAGATCTATCCTAGTTTTATAGGCAAATGAAAGAAAATGTTCTGTCATACTATTTTGATTCCCTCAAATCATCAGAGATTTTTTATTGACTTGTTAAGTACCGATCGTTAAGTTGGTTCCCACTCATAGTGACCCTATGCACAACACTGCTAGTCCTGCACCATCCTTATAACTGTTGTTATGCTTGAGTTATGTTGCTGCTGCCACTGTGTCAATCCATCTCATTGGGTTCTTCCTCTTTTTTGTTTCCTCCTTTTCATTGACTTGTGTTTGCATTTTATTTCATGCTGCTGTTATATGAAGATCTGCAGCAGCATGCATTCTGCAATATAGCATCATCTGTTTTAATATATCCTGCATATAAAATTAATATAATTATGTTGTTACCATATTTGCTACTTTTTATGGAAACTACTCTTTCCACATTTATTTTCACTCTTTTTAAAAATACAAATTCTAAGAATTTACAAAAAAATCAGGATAAAATCAATGAATGGGACAAACTTTTTTTGTTTTTGTTTTTTTTACACAAAGCCACTCAAAGGTGTAGTTTTACTTAAGTGAAGAAAAAGGAAAGTCAGATGTATGTTTGGGAGGGATGGAGTGAAAAAGCCAAGTCTGAGTTAGACACACATACATTAGCATACATTCTCCCAAGGATACAAATCACTGATATCTGAAAGTTAAGAAAATCTCCCTTTAGTTGGGAAGACCCACAGAAATTTATGTGCTCAAATACAGAGAACTTCATTATTTTGTGATATTTTACATATAATTTCAGATATTCTGATGGAAATGGAAAGATTGGGGAAGATTTAAATGGTGCAGTTTCAAAAACACATTAGAGGTAATTTTGAGCACACTATCTGAAAATGTGTAACACCTGATAAACAGAGGCTTATTGTAGCATAATGGTTACAAATTGGGCTGCTAACCTCAAGACCAGCAGTTCAAAACTACCAGATGTTTCATGGGAGAAACATGAGGCTTTCTGCTCCCATAAAGATTTACATCCTCAGAAACACTGTACAGGGTTGCTATGAGTTGGAACCGACTCCATGGCACATAAAAACAACATTGTTGTTAAATACCATTGTGTTGGTTCTAAGTCATAGTGACCTTGTATATAGGATTTCCAAGAAGTAACTGGTTGGTTTGAACCAACCTAAGTTTATTAGTTACTTAGAAAAGTTCTGTATCATAGTTTTAATATATTCCAGATAATTATATGTCAAAATTTAAGCTTTTGACAGACTCTTGATTTCTTTATTTTCTTTTAACTTTAAAAATATTTATTGATTAAAATGGTACTTTTCAGGATTTAATGTGCTGGACAATCAACTGAGAATATCTTTCAAATATAGGCTCTAACCGCAATGAGAGTGAGGAGGTTCTAGTGGAGTCTGAGATTGCACATTTCTAACAAGCTCCCAGATGATGCTAATGCTACTAGTCCATTGATCATAAGAAGGTTTAGGAGGTAATCAAATGATAATAGTTATGGTAAAAAGCTTGGATGGGAACTTATTTCTTCTGCACCACTATTTAGTTCTTATACATCATCTTTAGTACCTGTAAAATACACTGAAAACATTGACACTTCTTTCACAGAGGAACGGGGCACAAAGCAATGGAAAACCAGTTGTAGTTGAGCTATTTGTTGTTCTCTTTGTTTGTTTCTTTGTTTTTCATCTAAATTGAATTCACTTCTGTTGAATTAATTGGCTTCAGGCATCTGAATTTACCATGTTAATTAATTTAACATTAGTAAAAACTATACACTGCCAAGTATATAGTTTTCTTTTTATTTATTTCTTTTATTCCTTCTACGTACTAACCGTGTTACCCTTGCTAATATTTGGAAATTCAACATATGGGATCACTTATTCATGACAGCCAATTACTCACACAAATTCTAATTAGCTGGTATTGAAAAACTATTTATCTAGTAACATCTTTCAGATATATTTGCATTCATGATTAAATTAAAATCAGTGACTAAGGGTACCCAATTCCTGTTGCCGTTGTAGATTCTAACTCATAAAGACCACATATGACAGAGTTGAACTGACTCATAAGTTTTCTAAAGCTACAAGTTTTTACAGAAACATATCGTTGTCCAAGTCACCAAGTAACTGATGTGTTGGAAATGCAAGCCTTTCAGTTTGCAATCCAGTGTATAACCACTGTGCCATCTACATGTTGTTTTTGTTGTGTCATTGAGTTAGTTCCAACTCACCGTGACCCTGTATAAGGTTTCCAAGGAGAGGTTTATGGTTTTGAACTGTCAACCTGGTGGTTAGTAGTCCGTTGTGTACCCTACAGCACCACCTAAAAACGGTGGTGATGAAGGTGATGTGCCATAGAGTCGGTTCTGTCTCATAGCAAACCTGCATAGGGTTTCCAAGGCCACAAATCTTTATGGGAGCAGAAAAGCTCATCTTTCTCCCATGGAATGGCTAGTAGTTTTGAACTTCTGACCTTGAGGTTAACAGCCCAACTTGGAATCACTATGCTACCAGAGCTCCTTCCACTTAAGAAGAGTGCTTAATAAACATTTATGGAGTAAATGAAGTCTTGATACACAAAGTGGTGAGGTTTTATTAGCCAATCCACCACAAGGAGGTGCACTATTTCATTTAACAGATTAATTTTTCCCCATATCTCTTTAGAATAAGCACTGGACTGCTAGCTGGAACATGAGCAGTTCAAATCTACCAGATGCTCCTTGGAAACCTTGTAGAGAGTACATATGAGTACAAACAGATTGGACAGCACTGGACAACAACAACAACAACATAGTTATTATTAATATATGAATTATGTAAACATTATACCAAGGCAATATATGGGGCTATTATTATCTGTTTTCTAATTATGAATGATTTATGTTGCTTAATTTTTACATTTCTGTGGTATTGCACTGCATCATCATTAAACACAATTGTTGTTGTTAAGTGCAGTTGTGTCTGTTTCAGTTAACAGTGACCCCGTATAGGGTTTCTGAGGAATGGCTGTTGAGCTTGAACCACTGACGTCGCGGTTCAAACTGACTTTGCATTCCAGAGCATTAACCCACAGCGCCACACCAGGACTCCTTAAATACATTAAGTATAGAATAACTGGAGTCCTGGTATGGTGCTGTGGGTTAATGAGCCAGACTGCAAAGCTATTTGAACCGCAAGGAGGGCAGTTCAAGCTCACCAGCTGCTCCTGGGAACGCCTATACAGCATCTCTATGGGTCGGAATCTACTCGACGGCACGGCACTTGGCAACAACAACAACAACAGCATCGAATAACTGTTTGAGAGGCTTTCAACCCCAAACTTAAAGTTCACAGAGATGTTGTTCATTTCTTATATTAGCATTTTTATAACATATTGGCAATACTTACAATTTATAAATGAATTTTGAAAATCCATTCTCAATTGCTCATTTTAGTTGAAATCTAAAAATCTTGCGTGTTTCGGGCCCAGAACCATCTCTTTCGTGCTAGAGTTTTAGTGAAAGCTTTCTTCACATCTTTGTTTCTCAGTGTGTAGATAAAAGGATTTACCAATGGAGTGACCACACAGTAGAATACCGACACAACTTTACCGATAGTAAAATTGTACTTGGCTGGAGGTCGGACATAGGCAAAGATGATGGTGCCATAATAGATGGTGACCACTGTGAGGTGGGAGGCGCAGGTAGAAAAAGCTTTCTTCTGAGCCTCTCTGGAAGACAGCCTGATTATTGTGAGCACAATATTGCCATAGGATGACATAGTGAGAAGGAAAGAACTTAGAATAACGATGGAACTACATGTGTATCCCAAGGCCTCTGCCAAGAATGTATCTGAGCAGGAGAGTTTGTAAATGGGATCTGAGTCACAGAAGAAATGGTTGATCTTCTGTGGGCCACAAAAGTTTAAGTAAGAGATCAGTGTGACAGGTAGGAGTGGGGCAATGAAACCCCCAATCCAAGACCCAGCTGAAAATCTTAGACAAATCTGAAGACTCATGAGGAGGGAGTACCGTAGAGGGTTGCAGATAGCCAGGTACCTATCATAGGCCATCACTGCCAGCAGGATGCACTCAGTAGCACCCATGGAGAAGAAGAAGTAGTACTGAATTATACAGCCAGAAACAGAGATTGTCACAACCTGTGAGAGGCAGGTGGCCAGCAGTTTAGGCACTGTAACTGTGGTATACCAAATTTCCAAGAAGGACAAGTTTCCTAAGAAAATGTACATGGGTGTCTGGAGTGTGGAATCCATCAGAACAATGAAGATGATGATTGTGTTTCCCACAAGAGAGAGCAAGTACACAATGAGAAACATCACAAATAATGTAAGTCGAAGCTGGAGAACACCAGAGAATCCAAGGAAGATGAATTCGTCTACTGTTGTTTGGTTTCTCTCATCCATAGTTCATCTTTTCTGATCTAGAATGAATCAACAAGCCCAAGTAGAGGAAGATGAGCAGGAACAAGATTTGTATCTTTTCCATCTACTAGTGATAGGAGCTCTGGTAGCGTAGTGGTTATGAATCGGGCTGCGAACCTTAAGGTCAGCGGTTTGAAACTACCAGCTGCTCTGTGGGAGAAAGATGAGGCTTTCTACTCCCGTAAGGTTTTACACCCTCGGAAACCCTGTACAGGGTCGCTATGGGTCGGAACCGACTCTGTGGCACTCAACAACAACAACAGTGATAATTAAAAAATGGACACAAAATTTGTTGAGTCAATCCCTTCCCAAAGCAACTCTATGCATGTCAGAAAAAAATGCTCCATGGAATTTTGAAGGACTGATGTTTTTTGAAACTAGATAGCCAGACTTTTCTTCTGTAGCACCTCTAGAAAGATTCAAACAATAGATCTTTCAACACGTGCCAACTGCTCAATTGTTTTTGCTACCCAGTGACTTCTCAAAATTATAATAAAACTTAACCTTAATGAAGATCTGAGGAAATATATTACTTCAGATAATAAAAATATCCCAATCTATTAAAAAATGTTGTGACGTTATTAATCTCTAGATACATGAGGAAAGCATGGTTAACATCTTCCCAGGTATTTTCAGAATCTTTTTTTGCTTTTTTATATGAGTATATGTTAGAAATAAAATGTTGTTACCTAAATTTCCTTGAAAAGGGTTGCCAAGGAGCAGCTGATAAGCTTGAACCACAGACCTTGCAGTTCAAGCAACTTTGCAGTCTGACACATTAGCCCACATATAGACTCCAATTCACAGTCTTCTTAGAAGCAGAGCTCTGGTAGCGTAGTGGTTACGAATCGGGCTGCGAACCTTAAGGTCAGCGGTTCGAAACTACCAGCGGCTCCGCGGGAGAAAGATGAGGCTTTCTACTCCCGTAAAGATTTATACCCTCGGAAACCCTATACAGGGTTGCTATGGGTCGGAACCGACTCGATGGCACTTAACAACACAACATACATGTGTGCAGAGTAGAAGTATTCCATATAATTTTCTTGACTATAATCCTTATGGAATTTGATTGTCAACCCTTTATTTCACAAAACTGTGTGGTAGTTTTCAATTAGCAGTGTCACACAGGGACCTCCCCATTGATAATAAACCATGTAATAACATATGATAATAACAGAAAATAATAGTTTGACAAAGAATTATAAATGCTTTAGGTGGATTATCCTCTTCTATTTTGAAAATACATCTCCCAGTAAATATGTATGAAGAATACAGATAAACATATTGAAGACAAAGATTTATCACACTTACTTTACGGTTAAGAGAGCAGAGCAAGTTTTGAAACCAGGCAGTAGAAACAAATATATAAAACATGGTTAAGTAGAAGAATTTAGCATTGCTCTGCCACTGAGAAATTCTGATCTAAGAGATAAGGCAAATGAAACATCAATAGCCTCCTAGTTTAGAGATTGTCATTCACACATATTTTATTGAAACAAGGGGGTAACAGCAGTTTTAACTTTATGACACTTGATTTATGCCATCATTTACTTTTCTGAGGGAGATAAATACATGGATAAATACTATTTCTAAATAATTAAACATATTTAAATCTATGTGATAGAGATTTTGCTTTTATATATTCTTTTAGGCTCCCCAGTCTTCAGTTTAAAAGTCCTGGTGTGATTCTGCAAGTTAATTCTCTGGACTGCCAGGTTGGTTTGAATCACAAGGTTCGCAGTTCAATGTCACCAGCAGCTCCTGGGAAACCCTACACAGGGTTGCTATGAATCAGAGATACCTTGATGGCACTGAAGAACAAGAAAAATAATCTCTATTTTGGACTCCTGGTGTAACACTGTAGATAAGCACTGGATTGCAAACCTCAAGGGCACTGGTTCAAATCCACCAGATGTTCCTCAGAAACCCTGTACAGGGTTGCTTAAGTCAGAATCAACTTGAAGACAATTAGGGTTTTGGCTGCTATCTGAAAGGTCAGAGGTTTTATGGAAGAAAAGACTGCCCTGTAAAGAATTAGTTTCAGAAACACTATATAGAGTTGTTATAAGTCTGAATCCACTTAATGTAAGTGGATTAATTTTCAGCTTGTTGGTTTTTAGAACTAATATGTTCATCCTAAAGTGGTTCAAAAAGCAAACAAAGCAACAATAAATTAAGTGCAGTGCCTTAGAGTCAGGCCGATTCATAGTGATCCTATATATATTTTCAAATGCCATACATTTTCATGAGAGCAGAGGCTCCCTCTTTCTCCATGGATTGACTGGTGGGTTTTAATGGTAGATCAATGCTTATTCTACAGTGTCACCAGGTTTCCTTTACCACAGTAATTGGTGATGGTGGTTGTGGTGTGCTGAGGAGTTGGTCCAACTCATAGCGACCCTGCATAGGGTTTGCGAGGCGGTTAGTCTTTACAGGAGCAGAGAGCCTCATCTTTCTTCCATGGAACAGCTAATAGTTTTGAACTGCTGACCTTGAGGTTAACAGCCCAAATGATAAAAGCTACACTATCAGACCACATTAACTAGGAACAAAGAAAAGAAATAAAGAACCAGAAAACCTGTCCTTAGAGAAAGTATGATTAACAGTGCATGTATTAGAATAAATGTGTTTTTGTGTAAAAGTATTCAAATGTTTGTTATTTTTTAACAACCATAAAAATAAAAATGTTAAAAATTCTACAGTAAGGATGTTGTTAAGTGCAATGGAGTCTGTTCCGACTCATAGCGACCCTGAATAGGGTTTCCGAGGTTTTTGAAATCTTCAAGGGAACAGAAAATCTCATCTTTCTCCTGCTGAGTGACTAGTGGGCTGGAACCTTCAACATTGTAGTTCACTGTTCAGTGCTTATTGTGTGGAGTCATTGGGCAGCAAAGAAAGTTGAATAAAACATGAGTTAAACTGTGTTCATACCTATGGATTTCTGGAGCTTAGATTCATGTGGGCTTTAAATTATAAAAGTCTAGTAAGGGAAAAAAAAAAACCAATAACTATAGGCATTATACCACAATATTCATACTCCCTGTGGTGCACTATTGATAAAGTAGGTAATGTTTCCTGTATATGGTACAGATATTATTAGCTAAATCTAGTCAAAATAACAAATAGTAAGAGTGTGGTCAGGAGATAACTTGGTTATATCACAAGACCAATTTTTAATTATTAATCTCTTTAAAATACTGAGATTTTACCATATTTCTCTGAGTAAGAAAATAAAACTGTACATTTGCAATCAATACTACAATTTAAAACAGGTTTGGAAAAAGATTATGGCTAGCAGTCTACCTAGAGTCTATAGTTTAAAAAACTGAATGAAAAATTAGACTTTATTTTTAATATATTTTCCTGATTTGATCCTCTGATCTCTTAAAAACAAAACAAAATCATATTTATGTTATTCACAGAACACCAAGAATCTAGGCGATTCTTACTCCTATCATGAAAGAAATGGTTACTTTTCTCCTAGAGTTTTTAAAAAAAGAGGGATGGAAATTAAATATTTAAAAGGACTTACAATTGAAGTTTTGAAACAGTTCATGTCCTTGTTTCTAAAACATATCATGTTTTCCTCATACTATCTTCATCAGAATTAGAGTTGCATACTCTGTATCTATCTATCTATCTATCTATCTATCTATCTATCTATCTATCTATCTATCTATCTATCAAGAGAGGGAGAAAAAGAGAAGCCATAGTATTTTCAATAACCTTATATTCATGCGAAAGTTGAAGAGTGAGTAAGGAAGACCACAGAAGAATTGATGCATTTGAGCTATGGTGTTGGAGGAGAATATTAAAAGTACCATGGTCTGCCAAAAGAACAAACCAGTTTGTATTGGAAGAAGTAAAGCCAGAACGCTCCCTGGAAGGCAGGATGACTACACTTTGTTCCTCATACTTCAGACATATTGGCAAGAGAGACCAGTCCATGTAGAAGGACACCATGTTTGGTAAAATGGAGGGTTAGCGAAAAAGAGGAAGATCTCCAATGAGGTAGATTGGCACAGTGGCAGCAGTGATGGACTCAAATGGAGCAAGGATTGTGAGGTGGCACGGGACCAGGCGACGTTTTGTTCTGCTGTGCATAGGGTCACTATGAGTCAGTGCTGACTCAATGTCCCCAAACAACAACAAAAATATGTATTTGTTAATTGGAAGGAAGAGAAAATTAATCCTAAATCAGTTAATGCATTTATTAAAATTATAAGCTTATAATGGTTTGTATATATTTTATGGGTTTAATTTGAAAATGATAATCCTTCTACCTATATGTCAAAGTGAAGGTATGAGGAAACATATTACTTCAGATTATAGAATTATCCAAACTTATAAAATACTATTGTGTAATTATTATACTCTAGATAAGTGATAAACCATATGGATAGTATCTTTTCAGGTATACTCACAGTCTATGTTCAGTTTTATTACAGATGTCAGAAATGAAATGTTATTGGTTAAATTTCCTTGAAAACTCATCTTTTTCAAGATGGCTATGGATTGGAGCTTAAACTACATTCCATCGGCTGGTATGAGAAATAAATTATTTCTTAAGAACTGGTTGCTCAGCATCTTTAATGTTGATTCTATGGCATTGGTTGTCACATGCTTTAGGCAAACACCAATGATCCAAGTTTTTTTCTTCCAACATATAATGCTCTCTGTGTCATTATGGCAAGGAAAGCATGACCTGAGATCATTTTGTGAGACGTTTTTTATAATTTCATTATGCAGGATTTCTGGAAACCTGCCCTCTACCTGGGGAGTCCCACTATAACTCCCTAAGGGTTTTCATTTGGCAAGGGTTAGGGTACTTTCCCCTGGGACTAAAAGAAGAACAAAAGAACTGTGGGAGACATTAGCAGCATCTCCACAGCAACTGAAGAAATAACATCCTAAGTGGTTTCATTAGAAGTCACTACCTATAATATTTACCTTTAAAATAAGTTTGCAATATTCAGACAACA